TGGTAGTACTCATAATAGTTTTGGGGAAATAAAATGGATGTCGCTACTATCTTTGCAAAATTATGGCTACTAAGGGAGTGTCCCCCCCGTGGCTTCATTGCTCGCCGCGAGGCTCAGTCCACTTTCGATCGCAATCGGTGTTGGACGAAATTTAAAATGATGCGTTGTTCGATAATTACCTGCTCAAACACCACCTATATGGTAGGATCTTATAGTCGAGGTATTTCCTTCCATCGGTAAGTAACTATTTGCCTTGATATATCTATTTTGAATAAAAAATTATTAGTTTTGTTGCTTCGTATTATTTTTATCAAAACGGTCATGTGTCCATAATAGCTTTCCATTGCGGCTTTAATTTGACAGTCCAAATTTGCTGTGCTTGTAAAACCATCGATGTATAATTCAAGGTCAATTTGTTGGACGACAAATTATCATTTTTTCTGTCAAAAATGGGCAATAGTGCTGTACAATGCGATTTTTTTCCCCTATTAAAAAATATCGTTTTTGAAAGCAGAAGAAAGGATAATTAATTTTATATTGAATTATAGTGTAATTTTTGTTTTAGTTTTCCATATGATCCTCATATTAAAAATAAATGGATTGAAGCGACAGGACTCTAAGGCAAATAGTAGGTATACTTACTGGACATGGAAACTTTAACAAACACCTATATAACATGGGTTATTCTGACAGTCCTCTGAGCAGGGCGTGCATGGAGACTGAGGAGATTGTCTCCTCGGTCTCCATTCCAGTATCACATAAGCGCTTGTGCACTCATGTGATACTGGAATGCAGGAGCCTATTAAGACAAAGGACTACATATCTATGAAGCCCAAGGATACTAGTGGAAGCATGCGGCAGAGTTCGAGATCTTACGGGCTTCCTGGAGGAGCTGGGGTGGCAGGACTAAAGCAACCCCGTGTCATGCAAAATAGGCACTGAGTATCGAGTTGCAGAAAAGCCCGCCGTGAAACATAACATAACAACACAGGACGTAAAAATGTGTAGCGTGTCGGGAGGGGGTAGCGGCTACTACAAAGTGTTTGCCCACAGAAAAATGCCGATTTCTATTCTATCGCATAAAATCTTTTTTGCGCCGATTCACTAAATTACATTCGTGAGTTCGTGACATATACATAATATTTAAGCAAAATGGTAGTCTGTCTATAAAGTCATGAAAAAAATTGAGGGCGCTGCGATCGTGCACGTAGCAACCCTGTGTAGTGAGACAAATGATTTTGATAGTAGGATTTTTTTTTTACTTTTATTACCCCAGAAAAGGTAAAGAAAGGCGTATAATTCGTAGACAATGAGTTTATTCTACATTGAAGATTACAATATAGTAATCGTAATTTTTGATAACTCTTTTTTTTTTATAATTGCCAAGTTGTTTTCTCATTTTACTGCAATGTGTGCTTGTGTTCGATTAAAGCCTGTTACTTTGACACTCCTTGTAAGAAAACCCAATATATTTCAGAATTTAACGCAGGACTTCTAGGCTACAATTAAAATCCAGATCGGTTTTGGCAATCCACTGATGTTTTCTTCATGTAGGTACCTCTTTTTTTCACAGAGTAAAAGAACTGAATCTTTTGTCGAAGTGCACAAATGTTGCAGTTAACCATTTATTTCTTAGGACGACTATCTATGTTTCCCAGGGGTTTCAAATATGCCACCATTTTTATAACCTTCATCTACAATACGTATCACTATATTCTCTGATTTTCCTGAAAGTAAGTTTTAAAAATGTAATACCTATAGGTATTTGGCAAAAAGAATGGAATCGCCACAATGATCAAATTAATGCTATAATTTTAGTAATATAAAGCACAAACTTTTTATTGGCGTACGTAGGTAAAAATCGTACATTCCTAACAGGTATATTTTTTATTCAGATTAAAATCAATGATAAATTTGATTATCCAAAAGTATTGAAAGTTCGGGCCGCACTACAATATAGCCTTCTAACATTTTCAATCTAACCTATAAATGCATAATGTAATCAATACTTCTTTTAGACTTAAATTCATATATTTAGTAAATTTGAAACTTCTGGTAACCAAAACTCAATCAGTAACACGATTACATACCAGCCATAACTGCCGTTCGAGCTTTAACATCCTACAAATATGATAAAATGTGTCCAGCTTCTTGTTCCAATAAACATCACTGAAAAACTTTATAAATAATATCCTGAGCTTCACTCTGATTAATTCTCTTCATTTTTAACACTTTTCGACGGAGTTTAGAAGAAGTAGCTTCAGTTTAATCAAAACAAATCAAAAATGCAGAAAATCGAGCTAAAAAATCAAGTTGTTGACAGTCGATGTACTTTGATTCAGTGTTGTCATACTTGTGTCTAATGTTAGTTCCTCAAACATTCTTTTCATGACTTTATAGACAGACTGTACACGTTGGTCTCCGTCGATCGATATCGTTTTTTCAATCGATAAGAATCGGTATGCCGTTTCAAATACAACATGTATTCGATGCAAGTGAAATTATGTCTTCCATCACTAAATTAAGATCGTGACGTCATGATACCTACACAAAATGTGGCACGCTCGGTCTCCATATAAATCGACGAACATTTTCCTTCTAACTAGATTTATTTCTGTGAGTGGAACACCTCGGTGAACCACTGTGGTGTTCCACGGGTCAGAAACGCTTATTTTTAACAATTTATCTTTAACGTGGGCGAGGGGGTGCTACTGTCTAGTTTTTACTGCTATTTATTTATTTCGAATCGTCGAGGGTCTCGTGAACGTTGAGTGAGACGTCGCATACGCAGACTTTGATGTTCCACGTGTCAGAAACGCAGATTTTAATCTATAGTTAGAGCTAGAGCTGTAAAAGTAACGAATAAAACTGTACCCGTATGTATTCGTTACTCTAAAAATCATTACTCGTTACTTTCGTATCGTTACGTTACTCGTTACTTCCAATACCTCATATTTATGTCAGAGCTACGAATCGAATCGTACAGTATGATATCGCAACATTCGTTATTTGTAGTAACGTTACTTAAATAAGTACTGAAAAATGTTATAATTCAAAAGCACCAAATGGGAGTAGAAAATCATTTATTTATAATAAAATTAGACATTTTAGGGCAGGAATCTATAGTTCATATTTAAAAATAAAATCTTTTCCTTTAATATTTGGACCGATTTGGAAAAAATCCTTTCAAATGGTACCGAGGTAGTCATCACTGATAAATATTTCTCAGACATATTTGAAAGTTCGGGATATAAAAAATAATGCGTTCTTCTAGATATTGCCTCATGCAATAAATAGTTAAAACTCAAGTGTCTCAATCATAATAACCCTTAAAAGATAAGAATTAAAAATACGCAATAATAATAAATCAAAACATATACCTATTTCTATTCTGTTATTAATACTTTCTTTTCTTGTTTCTGTACCAAAATCAAACTTTTATACACACAATAATTTTACTCAACAGTAAAATACTTGGACGAGTAATTTCCAAATTATTCTATAACAAACGTCGTTTTTTGTAACGTACATTTTAAACTCATCGAATAAGCGCGCGCAATGGGCGCATGCGTAATATCGGTAGGCAGATACCATCAACAAGCGTTTCAATACACGCATCAACGGCACTAGTACATAAACTGAAACAGTATTGGTACTTGGTACATACGAAAAATGCGAGTAACGAAATGCATTCGTGAGTAACGTTTCGTTACTCGGTACTAGACGGCGCACCCGTTACTCAGTACCGAATACATACGATTTGCTACAGCTCTAGTTAGAGCACTTGCCTGGATTAAGTAACATTGTGGGTTCGAATCCCACATAGATTTAATATTTATGATGGTATTTCAGGGTTTGCTATGATTTTGGCTAAATGCCATTACCCTTCTGCCAGATTAGCATATTTAGTATATGTTATGACTAAACAAGTTTTTTAAATGAAACAACTTTTAAACAGTTTCATCACGTTTGTATTTTTCTTATATTGACGTTTGGGACCCTTTACACGTCGAACGAGTTTATGTCAGTACGGAAGGAGCTTTTTAAAATCTGAAGTAGCTCTTCAATCCATATGGACATATAAGTTTTTATAAAATATCTATCCGCCAATCCCCAGCTAAATAGGCATTTGAGAAGTAAAACTATAATAAAATACCAGTAGCTTCTTTATTGGTTTATCAGGATAAGGTCTTTACAAAATTATTGAAAAAATTACAAAGTTACATTTAGCTTAAAATGAGTCTTGAGTTTGTTTCCGTATGTAAGAATTTATAACAACGAGAACATCGTTCCAATCATATTGAAAATTTAAACCCTTACACGCAATCACTACATATCATAAATATACAGATGTTTAACGGTATCTAGGAACAGAAATTACAATACTTATGCTTTACAAGAATCTCAATTTATATCATACGTTTTAAACGTTTTACTCATACTGCTAATTCAACTACCAAGGCATTGGTTCACAACCAATAACCCCCATTTTCTACACTCTGATGTTTATCCAACTTAAATCTTCAACCATTTCTAATAAACTAAGACTGAAAGTTTGTATTTTATTACACATTTTATTAAAATTTATTCAAACAACATCGGCAGTTAGAAAAAGATCAATGTTTTTTACAGTCAAATTAAGACATTAAAATGCTATAAACTAATTTGAAGATAAAAGAAATATATTTTTACCACAGTAACCGACGGAAAAAATAAAAACTATCGATAAAAAATTTATGCAATGCCTGAGGAAGGAGGATTGCCACAGCGAAAACATAGAAAATGACAAAACGAGCGCGAAACGGTTTAAAGATCCAACGGTGTCACGATCATTTTTCCTCCTAAACTCCTTACGATGGAAAAATAAAACGGAACGAGCTTTCAAGTACGGAAACTCAAACTCGGCGAGCGACTTACGACTAAAATAATCACAAAGACATAAACTTAACACGTAAGCGTAACTAAAACGAACTAACTTTATTAATAATGCGCTATGATAAATGCATACTTCGGGGATGAGTGTGAGACGACCAGTGAAGAAGCTCCTCGTGGCGGTGTACGGGAGGGGGGGTCGGGGCGCGAGCTGGTGCGGGGCGGGGGCGGGGCGTGGGGGCGCGGGCGGGGGCGGCCCGGCCTCGTGCAGGGGCCCCGGGGCCCGCGCTCGCCCGCCTTGCGCCTGCTGCGGCGGTTGCTTCAATGTGCCCCATAGTTATTTCTTCTTTTGCGCCTTCTCGGCGGCTTTGGTGATTTTACCCGTAGTTACTTCTTTGAAGGTTACGCTCTGTAACGGAGAGTTGTATTGTGTGTGCTATTCATGTTTTTTGTTTTTATGAGTATGGTAACGGAACGGAAATTTTATGTCGCATATTTGAAACATAGTACCTTACGAGAGTACAATATGTAGAGTAGTCATTGGCATTTGTAGCTACTATCATATTACGTATTATCACGGGTTTTCATCGCTAAGTAAAAAAAATATTTGTTCATAAAAGCCACAATAGATGGCGTTACATGCCAAGGGCGAGGGTGGGGCGTGGGCAGGGTAGCCCGGCCCACTGCAGGGACTTCGGGACCCTCGCGTGCTGACCTTAATAATATACATACGGGCGGGGGGTTCGGAGCATGAGCTGGTGCGAAGCAGAGGCGAGGAAGGGCATGGGGCGTGGGCGGGGGCAGCCCCGTCAACTGCAGGGGCTCCGGGGCCCACGCGTGCTGACCTTAATAACATAGATATGTACCTTAATGACGCCAACGGCCACTGTTTGCCGCATGTCGCGGACGGCGAAGCGGCCGAGCGGCGGGAATTCCTGGAACGACTCCACGCACAAAGCCTTGGTGGGCACCAACATCACGATGGCCGCGTCACCAGACTTTATCGACTTCGGGTCCACTTCAGTGGTTTTACCTAATTTATGAGCAAATTAAAACTAACACCCGGTTTCTGAATTGCGTTTAAGTCACAATCGAAAACCTGTTTAAGTGATGTTTAAGATTATCACTTCAACAGGTGATGTTTAAGGTTTAAGTAAAGTTTGAGACGTGGTTAACTTTAAATTCTCAATTCAGTAAACCTGGTGTAGATATTATATTTGATAATACTATACTCATATTAAGCATCTTATAGAAAAATAAATAATCTCAATTCAAGCCATATGGGCCGCTGAATTTTTGAGTATTTTCAATAAGATAAATAATAAGTTTAAAAAGTGGCAAATATTTTGAACATGTAATTAATGAACACGTTTAATATGAATTTCAATCACCTAATATTTTTAGTTAATGCTTTCTTTAATATTGGTCTGTCGAACCGGATTTTGATAGTTGTTTTCATACTGAACTCGATTAAATTTAATGTGTTGCCATTAATTTGAATATTCTGTGGCCATCTTACCTGTACGACGGTCGCATTTTTCCTTTATCTCGGCAAATTTGCAGGCAATGTGTGCCGTGTGGCAGTCCAATACCGGTGTGTAGCCGTTGCTGATCTGACCAGGGTGGTTAAGCACAATCACCTGTACATACGAATTACAAACTGTTTTAACATAAAAACAACAACATATTTATTGTTAAACTCTAAAATTATTCTTTTTTTACTTAGGAAATATTCTTGCCAGGTCATACATGTATATTTTTTTTCGAAATACATCATAGTCCTTATTCACTACATGAATAATCTTATTTATTAATAACAACCACATTACTATTAATATTTTCAAAGAAATGGAAATCAAGGAAAGTAAAAAATAATTGAATCTATTTATTGTGGAAATGACGCTCAGAAATTCTATTAATTGATAAATGATATTTTTGATAAGTTACGATATCTCACTGCGAGTTGTTTACATAAAACCTATTACGTTGCGTCTTTAATAAATTTACTGTTTCAAAATTATATTCTATTACTTTAAAACTAATAACTACAACACAAAAAGTATTAATTACATTGGCAAGAATTATAAAATCACGCTCTTTGTGCTGCTTACAGATTCGAATCGCGATTATACTGCCGGATATGATAACACTGATTAATAAAAATAGAAAAATATTAGAAAAAACGTCGTGTTATCATTCATTCACTGCTATACTCGGAAACGTTATTTAACTTTATGTCTGCTTAATAAAGCAATACAAATAAAGACGATTTTCGAATGAATATATTGAGTTTCAAAAACATACGTTTTAGTTAATTGGTAGATAGAAAAAAAAATATGAATTATTTATTATATTTGATCAATTTTACATTCACAATACTATACCGTAAAATATTCTTAAAGAAAAATGTTTAAAAAATTGCATAAAGAACAAAATTAATTAAATTAATAATAACAGCAGATTCGCAGAACATTTTGTTGGTTCACGTTTATATAATCACCAAGTATAATCATAAAACTAGCAATTTCTTTGAATTTTCGGTAAAGAAATTTACACTCCAGGACACTTTGGACGCTTCCACATTGGACATAAAATCTTTGACTATGTTGATTTTGGCACCCGGGACAAGTGCCCCCTGATGCCTCTCTTGAATCCGGCCATGGCCATCTCTGTCTACTTTTATTCCTTTGAGTAACTACACACTAGTTTACAGCTAGATAGATTTTATTTGTCAGTATATAAAATACAAATAGAATGTTAATGATTATAAAAATTTTATCACCTGAGCAGTGAAGTCTGAAGCACCTTTAGGCGGGGCATTCTTGGAGTCGCCCGCCACATATCCTCGGCGGAGCTCCTTCACTGATACATTCTGCGAATAACAAACAATTATTCATAAATTTATAAAAAAGTACTGCAAATCTTTCTGCCATGTTCCGAAAATTTTTGCCCATATAGATAAATACTAATTCGAATCTACACAGGATAAGTTTGCAATAAGTGCATTCGCACGTTGAGAATGACAATGTCACTAACCAAAAATGACGTATTTTATACTTTTGGCAAAATTTTTCTTTGGTACCTAAAAACTTTAAAATGCAAAGATCCCTGTGAACGTAGCTTGCATAAAAACTGCTAGGTGGCGTAGTGACGATACGTTGTTTAGAGGAGCGGATAACAATTTCTTGAACTTTAAACGCTCATTACTCAAAATCGAATTTTTTGCATTGTGTCACTATCGTTCTCAACGTGCGATATTATTTTTCCTACGGTAATATCTTTTTGAAATGTCATATTAGTATATTATTATGTGTTTCATTACTTTTCACGTTTATTTTAAGTTGTAAACAAACTGTAGATATAATTACTAAATTGGTTATTAACCTCCAGGTAACGTTTGTTTTTTTTTTTTTAACTTCGGTTTATGTACCTACTGATGCAGGGAAAATCATTGACTGCTACTGGGAACATTAATTTTCGATTTCACTACGGGCAACCCTATCTGTCAGATAGCTGTTACTGTTAGGTACTTTGTTACGTTACAAAAAATATTATCTCGATTCCAACCTCCTTGGAGTAAAAGTGTTCTGTGGTTCCAACTGCATACTTACAACAGTCGTTAGCACCCACCAATGCGCAATTATAAGAAACATTAGGGTATTACATCAGGCGTTAAATAGAACATTATTATTAAAACAAAATATTTTTATTAAATTATCGAAATATGTAATTTATTTATTATTCGATTATAAATTAATGTGACAACCCTACCGCGAACAGTAAACGCGTGCATACTAGTAAGGCTCACTATACTTTGACGTTACAGTCTAATATACATATCTCTTTCTATTTGATATTTTAAACATTCATACCTCAAATTAATGAAATATGTATTTTATTTCTTCTTACAAAATCGGTTTATTAGAACTAGACAGAAACAAAATCCTCTCGTGATAATGATTAGTTACAAACCTTGACGTTGAATCCAACGTTGTCTCCTGGCATGGCTTCCTGCAAAGCCTCGTGGTGCATCTCCACAGACTTTACCTCAGTCGTGATGGCGGCCGGTGCAAAAACAACCACCATACCTACACATTACTTTTAATAAGACTAAACGGAAAAAATATCCAAAACTTAATGGGAATGATGCCTGGATAAAAAAAAGAAATTCTATTTAGTTCGTCAGTTTCTATTTAGTTCTATTTAGTTCGTCAGAGACATAATAGAGAAAAACCAGATACGTATTTTTTTGCCTCAATTTAACAAGAATTGGCTTAGATAATAGGCATTAAAGTTAAGGAGTGGGGACTCGCTACGTCACAGCTTCGTAGAAAATGTACAAAAGCGTGCCGTCATGTGACATTTCAACTTAATGTATTGCCGTTATTAATTACACGTATTATTTAAAAAATATATAATACGTGTTTAATATTTGCCTGACGGACGAACAAACAAAAATTAGTCATCATCCCTATTATAAGTATAGTATCTCGATAGCGCAAATATTAGTGAGTTCAGCCGGCAACATTCGCAAGGACAGGATAGCAAGCATGCATAGGATGGGTAACCAAATTTATAAATTTCGAGCTCGTTTAACAGTTAGTGCGGGGTGCATCCAATTTATAGCATTTTGTAATTTAGGTACTTTTAATCAGATAAGATATGACTCAAAATTACCAAGAATGGCGGAAACAAAATAAGGCCAAGAGAGAAGTAGAAGCCTATATTGTATCTGAAAAGATCTGGAAGCTCGTTCTTTTTTAACTGTAAGTAGATGATGATTTGAGTCACTGTTATATGTTTAAATACAATATAGCTTTTTGAATAAGTATTTTTTGATTAGTAGATTTAAACTGCATGCTATCTATTGTTGTATTTGATCTCATACAGTTTAAATCTACTGACTTGTTATGTTTATCAAATGTGTTAATGTATGACGTAGATATATATATATCTGACCTGGTTTAAGGATGCCAGTTTCGACTCGTCCCACGGGGACGGTGCCGATGCCTCCTATCTTGTATACGTCCTGCAGAGGAAGACGCAGCGGTTTCTCGGTCGGCCGCGACGGAGGCTGGATCGCATCCAAAGCCTACACGAATATACAGTTGTATTTGAATGATTCCTGAGCTGTTTGTGTTTTATTTTCCTATATCAACCCATTGCCATGGTGGTACCTTTATTGTATCAGATTTTCCATAATACAGGGGCTTTAGCTACTCATATTGGATTACCAACAACGTATGTGATGTTATCTAATAACATTTTTTTATTCGTGATCTCGATCAGATTGATGTTATGTTCAAGTTAAAATAATGTTTATTTAAATAAACTTATCAAGAGTACCTACTTTTGAATTAACAATTTTTTGTTCCTAGTAACGAGTAGTCGTTTAGACAGTCTTTTGGCTGATAAAAACTAGACTGAAACTCACCAGCTTTAATAGAAGTTGACATGAGACATGAAGTAATTACTTGAGAAAATGGCATAAATTATGCAGATATTTTTAACTAATAGGAACTGTTAAAGTCAGAACTGCTAATAATAATAATAATATTCTTATTCTAACTACATTTAAATTCTTGTTTATTTATTAAAAATATTTGTTTGAGCAATGACTTTTACACAAGAAATTACTTTTACTCGAAGGGTGTTAGTGTCAGCGTTACGAGAAACACGTACCTCGATGAGGCACTTGCCCTCAACTTTGCCCTCCTTGCGGTCGATGGTCCATCCCTTGAACCAGGGCATTTTGTCAGAGGGCTCCAGCATATTGTCGCCGTGCCAACCAGAGATCGGCACAAATGCTACAGTTGCTGGATTGTATCCTGTGTATGACAATAATTCTTGAAACACGCTAATTCCACCAAAATCAATGAATGATACCAAATATCAAAGACCAAAAAAGATTTGCATAGATATTGTTTTCTGGGCAATGTGACAATGCTGGCGTGTTTCACGGTATTTATTTAGTCTACTTTTCGCGAGACGAAGAGCAACTCATGTTGTCTGACGCGCTGAGTGCTGTCAGACCATGACGGTGATATTAATACAATCCATCTAAGTACTACATAAAATATCCCAAAATGTCGGTGTGAGTCAATTTCATTTTCATTGTGCTTCAAGTTATTTAAACTATATTCTACAAAAATACAAAGTTCCAGAAATCAGTGATACAATTCTATAGCAAGATTGCAGTTAATGCTCTGGAAAATTACAATGTGAGTTAAAACTACAATCAAAGACGTCGCCAAGGGGGGCCAGGAGGGGCAGCTGTCCCCTTCCGAGAGATTTTTTTTTAAAGTTGCCTAATGTAAAGCAATCAGTCTTACTTGATCATTCCCGTACGTCGAAACTAGAATGAACTTACCAATTTTATTTCTACACTCAACTACTCTGGTCTATTGTTAAAGCGGGAGAAAGGGAATGGGGTACATTCAAACATCAAATAATTTTTATTCAATTTTTCTAATAAATGTAATAACTTATTTACAAGTTTTAATTATTCTACAGTAGACCTTATGTAACTTTACATGTTGGACTCTGTAGGGACTGTTGTTATTACAATTACCGTAGATGTAAGATTCGTACTACAAGTAAAAAGCTTCATTTTAGCTACAATTCATACTTAGTTCATTCTACGGGACGTCCTTGACTACAATTGACAACCCGAAAAAGTAATATCTTACCGCAATCTTAGTGAACACTAGGAAGAGTGTATAAACTTACCGATCTTCTTGATGTAGGAAGACACCTCTTTCTTGATTTCCTCGTAGCGTGCTTCGTGGTAGGGGGGCTCTGTAGAGTCCATCTTGTTAACACCCACAATGAGCTGCTTGACGCCGAGCGTGAAGGCCAGCAGCGCATGTTCCCGCGTCTGTCCGTTCTTGCTGATTCCAGCTTCGAATTCACCGGTGCCCGCGGCTACTATCAACACTGCGCAGTCAGCCTAATAACAGGCAATATAAACAAACCTCAAAAATGTGAAAATATAATTATTATCTAACGATATTTATTATATGAAATAGGAATATTACATTTATGTATAGCTTATTTACAAAATAGATAACAATTTAAATTACGCCCATGAAGTAATTACGCCACTGTTTCCCAAATAGGAACAGACATCGTGTAATCCAGCGTACATCGCCCTAATATCCCCGGAGACCTTTTAAAGTAACTCTAGGTAATTAATGTCGAGCAGAGGTTTTTTTAAAGCTTTTACTTCAATAGAAGAATTGGTGTTATTTGTTTATTCTTTCGAAATTAAATCGTATATTGTCGCGATAAAAAATACGTTACGTCCTTCCACTGAGGTGTAAAAATATTTAAAAAAAATAAGTCTCCCTTACTTGGGAAGTGCCCGTGATCATGTTCTTGATGAAGTCCCTATGACCGGGCGCGTCGATGATGGTGACATAGTATTTTGCTGTCTCGAACTTCCACAGCGCGATGTCAATAGTGATACCACGTTCACGTTCAGCTTTTAGCTTGTCCAATACCTAAAACATCCATTTCAAATAATGTTTCAGTCAATTTGAACATTGGACAGGAGTTAACAAAATTAATATTTTGTGTAACACGATCTTTTCTATTGGGCACGTACCTCTGCATTTTCACACTTACGCATTCTACCTCTTATTGTAAGCAGATTCCTTATTTATGTCATGTATTTGATATATACATATATATGTATGGGTATAACTTTATTTTAATGCTCGAATCGTCACAGATCACCCCAATAAGGTCGGTTTTGCAACTTTACTTTCAGCCCGTAACCAATGCCTTAACATATCAGGGCTAGCTTAAAAAGATGGTCACAGAGCTGAAAGCTGCAGCAGTGGAGGAGTAGAACAATATTTCCCAATCAGGCATCCAACACATCGTGGATGGACATTACCTAACAGGCTTCCATAAATCATAAGGACACGGGGGTAACCACTTATTAATAAACAGCTGATTTTTCGTGTCCATGGAATAGCTTACTTTTTTGAATAAGCTATTCTAGGCGGTTCATTGTGCCTGTGAGTGAAGGTATTTTCCACTTTCTTATTTCAATTAGAACGAAAATATTCACAATGAGATGAAATATAAATATCGTATGGAAGTAAATTACATTTAACAATTTATTTTTATAGAAAGAAATCTGGCATATAGAAAGTTACTGTTGTGGCTAGCTATTACTTTTTTTTAATTACTTTTTACTCAAGAATCTGTTGATTATATTACTTTTTACTCAACAGGTTCTTCTCGCACATCATTTTGAGATGGCGCATAATGGCGCACACAAGGCGACGAAATAAGCGAGCCAATCAATGAGGCTAATAGAGAAAGATGATTTTGTAGTGCACAAAATGAATGTAACATATTACAATTATAAAAAATGTGATTCACGCTGGCATACTTTTATCATATTTCAATATAAAAAGATATTTGAATTGATCATAGACAGTTGAATTTGTAAATTAGCGAGTTTCATTTAAGCACCCTCTTAACGAACATCGCGGCCAAAGAATATTCTTAAAAACCGCTAAAATTTTATAGCAAACAATCAAATATCCACGGCGAAAGTAAACAAAATTTTATTAACCATATTTGATTTTGCCATCGATACTATTATTATAAATGGTATAAGTTTCTCGCGTAAGCCACTGAACCCATTATGACGTTGTGTCTACATAATATGATTACAAAAAGGATATGATAAGATTTCGAAGAAAAATAATTGTAGGCAATATAACAGACAGATAGGTTTCGTCGCAACTAATTAAACGGTGAATAAAGTGAATATGGTTTATTTAGCGCCCTACCTTGCCCATAAAGATATGCCTATAACCATAAGCACTTTACGAAAACTTAAAGATTAAGTTCACTGAAGTCGTACTGCATGTAATAAGGACAAAAACGTACCCATGCGTATTTGAACGATCCCTTGCCCATCTCCTGGGCCTCCTTCTCAAACTTCTCGATGGTACGTTTGTCGATGCCACCACATTTGTAGATGAGATGCCCTGTGGTAGTAGATTTGCCAGAGTCCACGTGACCAATCACGACGATGTTGATATGAGTCTTCTCCTTACCCATCTTGTTGATCTGAACGAGACTTCGTCGTCAGTCCAGCAAACAATCTGTTTAAGTTATTTGTAATTTAGATTCTAATGAGACACATTACAACTTTCCCACAGAATACGTAGAAGTCTTTGAGTTTGACTTCAAGGACCTAATGGATCTGTTTCGTCGTTGGTACGCGTTCCGGATGCTGACAGGCGCAGTGTTTGACAGCATCATATCTAAAGAAATATATTTTTAATGTTATTTTTTAATGTTAAATATATTAGAATATAATTTAGTAATTTTGGCTGGTATTATAAGTTCGTTTTTTGAAAAGATGCAACCTAGTGGGTACTTTATTTTATTAAGTGTAATATAAAAACGCCCATTAATAAATTCTGCCCCGGGCCGCCGGTCCTGGGGAGCCTATAATGGCTGCAGCTATCCACCAAAATCATAATAATATAATAAAGGTAAAAATGTATGCACTTGGGTTGTAAACGCAATATCAAGTTTCTGGCGATTGGCAAGCTTGTCGATCAGGGCCTATTGCCGTCCCGGGCCTCCGATGAAGTTATTCCACCACTGAATACTCGGGTAATAGATGTTGCTCTAGATCTCTGACTCCTGTCGGGCAGATACTTCAGTGGTAATAGATGGATTAACCGCAAATATCTCTGTGCAACATATCGCGTCTATGAGCATCACGCTGCTGAGCTCACGGGGCAGCTCCAACAGTAGATATCCTGCTGTCGGTAATTTCATGACACAACTGATTTGTAGGGTTCCATACCCAAAGGGGCAAAAAACCGATAAAATACCCGTAAAATTAAGTTAAGGTTCCGCTCTCCGTCTGTACGTTACCAGGATGTATCTCATGAATCATGATGCTTATTTAATATAGTTCAAAATTTCACAGAACATGTATTTCTGTTGCTGCTACATACCTACATATAACAACAAATATTAAAAACAAATAAAACAACAAAAGTGTTTTTTTTATGTTAGTGATATCTTTGACACGAATGAACAGATTTAATGAAAATATTTTTTGTTTAAAATGGTAGGTAAGATATAAGTAATTATTAAATAATCTAACTCGATTTGCATTAGCAGTTTTTGAAAGTCAGACAAATAACAAACTTCAAATCTCGTTTAAATATGAAAAAAAAATTAAAGCCAAACCCAATGTTATAAAAATACAATTAAACCTATTGAATTAATGAGTTATCAAGGCGGTGTTATATCATTAATGCAAAAACTTCTTTTGGAATCGGAATGGTAATATTAAAAATAGTAAAAGACTGATGAAAAGCTGAATGATGAAGTTTAGATCCAACCTGTTCACTAAAGAAGTTTCTTGAATTTAATAGCCGATTTGAATAGTTAAATACTATTTAGTACCTATTAAAACAAAGTTTAGAACCGTTTAATTTTACTCTTTAAATATTTTTTTCACTACTAACTAAAAATTTAATGTAATGATAACTCGAATCAAACAAAAGATTCTGGTAATATTTTCACCTGCGATATCTAATTAATAGCAATATCACGGGAAGAGTTCGCCCAGGCCGAGCGTGCGCGTAGGACGTCCGGGACATCGATACAGCAACATAATTCTTCCAAATATAGACAATTTTATCGGTTGCCTTCACGAAGCCCTCATATACTTTAAAGAATAAACGGTAATCCGAATATAATATAACAATATAAAAGACACTGATAAACAACTTTTTAAAGGATAATGGCCTTAAAAAACTTTAGCTTGCAGTAATCAAATTTAATGTTGTCTAACGTTACCTTTTAGTTTCCGAAAGTTAAAATTTGAATTATCAATAAAACTGTATAAACACAATCGTACGTAATCACTTTGTAGAAATATAAGGTGTTATAGATATTTTTTTTATTTATTATATCTAAGTACTTTCTATTACGACTAACTTTAAATAGAATACGTAAACTAATTACAAGTAAACGCTACTTAGATATATCATTGCAATGTTTTTAATTAATAAAGTATATTTTTAATAAGAAAGAAGTGGGATTAGTTTAATCACAAAGGGAGAGAGTGCGTTCTATAATTAGAGTGATCTATAGAAGTCGCAAGTGCCTATTGAGATGCATTTGCAAAGCATGTTTCAAAATTAGAATAATCGCATATCGCCCAACACGATGTGTGGATAAACCGGCGACGCAGATGGGCTTCCCGGTGCGTCCATCTTGTGCATAAGTGTATAAATCTTTCAATTTTTTTGTAGTTTATCATATTCCCATCTTTGTTCAAATTTCAACATAGAGTAATTTTCACTTCTTTGTCAAACGAACATTGAAAATGACATTCAAATTTAAAAATTCAAAATTATTATGAAAATATCAAAGTCGAACCAGAGGTCTATTTTTACATAGACAACAAATGCGGGAATATTAATCTTTCTTAAGAATAAGAATTATAATCCGATCTTGTTATCGAGCGATTATATTACTTTAAAATTGCAAAATAATAAATTGCGTAGTGTTACGCCATAAACACGTGTTTGAAAATATTTATGATGTTATACGAAATCAAAATGAAAAAAATAATTTTAATAATTCTTCTTATAGGGCGAAATTGATGGGATTAAATTGCGTAATTTCGATAAGTCGTTACCGGCAGTTTCGTACCCCAGAGATGAAATGTTAAAACTAATAATTAAACTTTAGTTTTAAGCGAAACTGCTAAAAATAATAAAAACTGCTTTGAAATAAAACAGAATGTCGTGAAAATACGCAAGATTTATCAAATAACAAATTAAAATAGGAAAATCTTACCTTTTTGCGGCCGCAGTCACGAATTTTCAGAGCTATTCAAGAGCATGCGCGGTGGACAGTTTGCCTGGGAAATGCAATCAATAAAATCAAGTGTTTTACTTTCAAAGAAAATTTTCTTATAATTTCATTTATCGTTATAACTTATTTGGGAAAAATAATTTATTTTTTTAAAGAAAACTTTAATCGCATTAGTCATAATTAAATACGATTTCCTATTTGTAGCTAAAATGTAAACGAACGGATGTGTCTCGAGTTTTCTTTTCAGTGAAAAGTTTTTCATGTCTTTGGCATAGACAGCGTGCATAGGTTATGGAGTGTGTACCTAGGATAACAAAATGTCCTGTAAATGCGGTATATGAATTTAAATCTTAGATCAACAATATTTAAATGTATTTAAGTATGTAGGTACGTTAAAGTTAATCCTTCACGTTTTGCCAATAAACTCAAAAAATAAAAAAAAGTCAATGGGCGCGGGCGTCTTAAAATCACTCTTTACATTCGATCAAGAAAATAAATGAAAAATAACCTTCTTAGCTTCGTGCACTCCATGCCTTATTGGCACATGATTTCAACCATAGATCCACAGATCTATGATTTCAACAAAGAGAAATCATTTAAGAACCTTTCTTTCATAACTATACTAATATTGTTAGTAAAGTTTCTAACTTTGTTTGTAGGAAGTAATCTTCAGTAATCTTCGGAAATACTGACCCGGTCATGGATTTTTTTTTATCTACAGGAAGCTTCATCAATTCATACGGCGGGTGATATTTAACACCCGGGCGAAGTCGTGAGAAGACATCTAGTAAATCATATAGTGTTGTAGCCTAAGAAGGCCGACTTTTTGATACTGTGAACGTTGGAGTAGTAAAATCTGAACTGAAATAGGTTTTAATAATATAGGACGGGTAGAGAATGCCCACTGGCATTAAATCCGCCACTTGTACTCTTTATTTGTACAAAGACGTTTAAGTAAATAAATAAAATATTGTTTTAAACTTAGGTACATGTTCATTAACATCAAAATGATTGCTAAAACCGGGATAGCTAACTTAAACTTTGATTTTATTGTTTTATATCGGGATCTTAATAAAAACAAGGTTCATATAACAAGGTAGCAATCCCGTTTAACAATTATTCTGAGGTTTAAATAATATTCTTCTACTGGCTTAAGCCGCTCTTGTACCTCCGCTTGCATTCCCATACAGATACGCATCCCGCGTATAGACACGCCCGCTTGATACCTATATATATTTTTAATCACAGAAAGAGAAACAAAAATTCGGCATTTTTGGAATTTCACAGTTTTCGGTATTACCCCAAACACACATATTTCTCATATAGTTAATATGAAATATTCTAGTCGTAAAATCGATTCAAAACACCTATTTAGTCATCTTTGCGATTTTTTCTATAGACCGAATTATTGAAATGTATGTTTTAGTCGAGTAGCTCGGTGGTGTAGTGGATAAGCGCCGCGGCCCGCGATCGTAGTCGTTAAGCAACTTTCGCAAGGGTATGAGGACCACGTAGGGGGGGACGGATGGGTGACCAAATATTATTATCTCGAGCTACTCCGTTCTTCGGAAGGCACGTTAAGCCGTTGGTCCCGGCTGCATTTGCAGTCGTCAATACTCTCCAATCCGCATTGGGCCAGCGTGGAGGGTCATGGCCCATCCTCCTTAACCATCCATAAGGAAGGCCTGAGCCCCTGCAGTGGGGACGTAAAAGGACTGGCGGTGGTGGATGTTTTAGTAAGCAATGGAACATATGTTTAATTTTCATAAAATAATTTTAATTTGACAAACATTAGCTTAGCCTTAAATTAAAAATTTTCATACAATCTCGCCTTAACTTTCAGCTGGTTTTATACAAAGAATTTGAGAACTACATCATATTCCTAAATGTTTTGCTACAACCAAAAAGTAGTAATTAATGAAGCGAAATCTGCAGGGGCACCCATTACTATGGGCGTTCCTCAGGGATTGATATTAGGACCATTGCTTTTTCTAATTTACATTAATGATCTTCCTCACTTTACAAAGAATTTGTGCGATGACACCTCTTTAGTGTTTAAAGTTAAGAGGGGTGATGATTGTTTTGACGATGTAAATGATGCTCTCGACAATGTTCTACAGTGGTTTGATAGTAATAATTTAAAGCTTAATTCAAATAAAACGAAACGCATAAAGTTTGCATTACCTAATGTGAGGCATGTTAATACA